TTCTCACTCCCCACCCACAGGCTCCCAGCCCTGCCCTCGTGCCTCACTTCCCATTCACAGCCCCCTGGGCCTCACTCCCCACCCCCCCAGCCCTGCCTGAGGGGGCGCCCAGCTGCCAGGGCTCTGGGGCCAGGAACCTGGGTCCACAGCCCACTCCTTGCAGCAGTGCTCAAGCTCCGACTGCTACATGTGGGAGGTGGCCACTGTGGCAGAGCGGAGTGTGGAGCCCGGCTCCCCCTCCTCCACAGACAGCACAGCTGGAGCGGAGCCCATTGTGGGGGGCAGATGAGGGCTTCCCACTCTAATCCCTGTGCACTGCCCCAGCTGGGCAGCAGCCCCTACCCTGCTCAACTCCCTCCTTCCCTTGCTATGGGGATCTCAATCCACCCCCCAGCACCAGAACTTCCTGCGGGGAGCTGCTGTCCAGGCTACCTGGCTGCCATGTGTGTGTGTATGTGCACACATGCACATGGTGCCCTCTGCCTGATTGCCCTCCTCCCACTTTCCCCAGCCTGATACACTGCCAGCCTGCAAGGGGAAACCCACCATTTCCCACGTTTTTCTCCTTAAAATGAGAAAATCTGGGGTTTATTGCATTTTTCCATGTCAAACAGAAAACCCGGATCCCTGGTTATAACTTACTCAAGAAAATAATAGTTGCAGAGGAAAGAAATGTGATGATGTCCAATATAAAAACAGTTTAGAAAACCATATAGGAGTTCTTTCTCCCCTTAATGTGTGAAGGCTATATCCAAAGAACACCAGCTATCACTAACAGGATGCTTACAGGTAAACCTCTCATGTGGGGAGGAGGAGAGCAAGGAAGGGAAAGTGTAAGAATAAAGGACTTCTCACTGAAGAGGTCCTACTCAGAGAGTTGCTTAGATATTTCAAGTTAGTCTGAATAAAAAAAATGCAAAAACTTTGCTTTGAAGCAGTTGCTTTGTCCTGTTACATTACAGTATTGCTCATTTTGGTGCAAAACATTTGGTTCACTTTTGCTTGTTTGTGCTTTGGATTTAGATATCAATGTTAAAGTACATCAAATGTTGTTTGACTAATAGGAGAAAGCGGTATTAGAGAAAGGGGCTAACTGTGTAAGTTGAGCTAGAAGGCCTTTACACAGTCTGGGCAAAATTCTGTTCTTAGATACTTGCATTCCCTAGTTAATTTAAAAAAATCCTATTTAAAAACCATGGTAAGGAGAAAAGAATTGTGAAATGTATTTTAGACCAACACAGCTACAATCAACAACTGTGAAACATGTATGCACTCACTATACTGACTGAAAATTTGAAGTATCGCCTGGGACTTTTTAGTCTGAGTTCTCTTTGACTTGTTTTCATTTTTGCAGGCCATCTCCCCAGCGAGAAGAATGGCGTTTCTTTCAATGTGCAGAATGGTGATGTGCGTCTTCATGACTTTTCAGGAAAACAGCTTGCATTTTATGAGAAGGATGAAACAGACAACAAAAACAGCCGTATCTCACTCAGAAGGACTTCAAAGAGGGGAAGCCTACATTTTATTGAGAGAATGTGATGATTTTCAAAAGCACATTGTTTTACAGAGTGAAGTACAGATAACTTTAACTGATTTACATAATGTGAGAAGATCAGAAACTGATTTTATTTAATATATGGTACTGAAGCTTCAAGGCAGCCATAACTTGGATTTACAAGGACAGTTATTTAAAAATCAGTGCTACATTTTGACAAGGTACTTCGGATGCTGCATTTTAAGTGGCATAGTTTCCAGTTTAATTCTTTCTTGTTTTTTAAAGATTTAAAGACAAGTTTGATTTTTAGACTGACTTTGTCAGTATAACTAAGATAATATACATGAATACAATACATAGTAATATTGTACAAATGTAGGCAAGCACAAGCTAAACTTAAGAAGTTAAGTTTTCTCTCAACATGTTAATTACTACTTCAACCTTTTTATAGGTTAGAGTTGCTAACTTTATAACGATGTATATAAGCAGAACAATATCTGCCTTTCAGTGTCTGAATGCTATTTTTAATATTTATTTCTTGGAATATAAAATGAAATATTCCTTTTATTTAGAAAAATAATTGATATTTGTTTTAACTTTGTTCTAGTTCATAATGTTGGTAAAGTTAATTAGCTCAATTAGCTTCCTATTTTATCCTATCTTATATCTTTAGAGATAATTTGTTCAGTATGTGAAATACTTTACAGTGGTTAAAGCGTAAAGACATTCATGAGACAGAACTATAAATAGGAATGCTGTCACAGTTGAACCACTGGCTGCCTGTTTCTGAGATGCAGGAATACAGAGGGTGGGGATCTTCTCAAAGTAAAATGCTTTGCAAGGAATGATGTTATAAAATAGGCAATAGGCTATTAGATGTATAGCTAGAGTAAAATCCTGGTCTTATTGAAATTGATAGGAATTTTGCTATTGGTTTCAGTGGGGTCAAGTTTTCCCCCTTACTGAGCACTGCAGAGATAAATACACTGCCATTTTTCAGCTGCAATGTTTAATAGAAAAGTAGAATAGTCATTTTTTTAAAAGAAAAAATAATGGTAAGAAAAATATTCTAACTCCTATTCTTGAGCAGCCAAGACAATTGCCTGTTTCATTAATTAATTTTCATAAAAGGTCAATTCCTGCGCTATAATGAGTATTTCTACTTGATTTTTGATCTGTGTTTTATTAACCAAATCTTGCCAAACTTCCCTCAACTTTCAGCCTGATATAGATGCATTTGGGGAGGCCTCTGGTCAGGGAGTGCAAGAACTGCCACCAATTAGTTTCCATAGTAGTCCCTCTAAAAGGGATCACTGAGTATGTCCACAGAGCACAACATAGTGTCACACAGAGATAGTTGCACTAACGCTAAAAAGGTCTCAGCAAGATGTATTAGCTTGGGCTGAGCAGTATGCTATTGCAGTTATACTACTTCAGTACCCTAGTGGGCTTGTTCGGAGCTGGCTCTTAACACTGTCTCTACATGGCATTACCCTGTGGTCATTCTGGCTTTCTTTAAAGGAACAGCAGATATTGTACATTCTTGGAAGGCAGCTCGCTGTGAGCAGTCCTGAAGCAATCCTGTAAGTGCTGTTGAGCACTGGCATCACCAGATCTGGGGATCTGTTTGCCCTGCCACAATTGAACCTTACCATTCTCATAAGCGTCCAGCCCTTCTGTGTTTTTTATGCAATAAATGCATTCTGTTTGTCATCCTGCCCCTGATACTAACCTAAATAAATTTTTGCAGCAACTGTTTGAAGTGTTTGTTTAATTTATTCACAAGGTTTGTAACTGCATATTGGCCACATGTAAATGATGAAGATACCAAAATGCAACACTAATAATCCTTGATGGGTTTCCATGAATGCTTTAATCATTTGGGTACTTGCCTTTGCACTGTTTCTTATACATTTATTTAATTTTCTAGTATTTATGTTTTCAAATGTCAAAAATAAAACAAAATTCTAGTAAGTAATATGCATGTGGTGTAGAACTTTTTCACAACTTCTAATTGCAGATTTATCTATCCACTCACAATTCTTAAAACAATGGGATTAAAATAAATATTCTTTGCAGGGAAATGCTATCATGCTATCTTCTAATTAACACACATTGGAGCAGATGTCCAGCACGTGTATTGGTGCCCACGATGATCTCCCCAGTTCCTCCAACAGTAACAATGTAGTTTACTTGACAACTTCTGGTAATCAGGACTTGCAATAGATTTGAAAAGCTGTCCACCAAGGTCATCTTGCTTGGCAGTTCTTCCAAAATGAATGAAAGTAATTCTCCCCTTTGATAGTTATGTCTGCACAGTTCCAAAGAAAAACTGCTTTTTATTCAGGTTAGCGTTATAATGCCCAGAAATAACCCTACTTGTTTTGTCCTAAACTACTTTTTCTCTTGGAAAAAAAAGTCAGGTGGCTATGGTGGAGGTAAAAATATTTGCCTCTGCTGCCACAGCACAAAGTAGGGGAAAGGTAACCGCTTGAAAATCTAGCTGAAGATACTGCAACTCAGCAGTTGCCTGAGCAGGAGAGAAGGCCTGCAGTGGAAAACAAGCAAGCGAGTTGTTAGTTCTGTAGTAATAAATGGATGACTGCCACAAAATTATTTAGCATCTATATTGTACCACTGCAGCTGCATGATATATTATATTGCTCAAAAATGAAAAGACAGGTCTCCTTGCCTAATGCTGAATATGCCCCTTGAGTCAGGAATTCATATGCCTGAGTCAGGAATTCCTAAAATGCTATTAATTGTCCTGTCCTGGTATTCTTATGATGCGTGCTTTAAAATATATAGATGCTTGCAACTGAGCCAATATAGTGCTGGATTAAGAACTGAGAAACAGCAGAGCACAAACTCTGCAACTACACGTTTAACCTTATAATTTTATCAATATACGAAAACATTCAGATGGGTCAGTTCTGTTACACGTTAACATTTAGCAGCTGTTGTACATAAATGTAGTAGGTCAGTAGGAACAAAGCCATCAGATCTGTACTTGAACCTACCAAGCTGGGACCTTATCAGAGAAAGTGTCTGGTTGTTAATAAAGGGAACTCCCTTCTTTTGTTATGTAAAACTAATAGGGGCAGTAGTATGCCATGCTCCTTCCAGCTTACGTCTCAAAGCATAACTGAACAGCAGCCTGGCATATAATGCAGGGATAGCTAAACTAGTTTTTAAAATAATCTAGCTGTGGTACTGGATACTGTTCATGTGTGATAGCATGGAACATAGCAGGAGCTGAGTCTGCAGTGAAAACATTCCATTATGTTAAGTATATGACAGTTACTAGTGACATTTATGTGCACACAGCATGTGAAGACACTGTCACATGGGTCTTGCCTGCCAGGTAGACACAGCAGCATTGAGTTCAGCACAAAGTTCCAAAACCCTGTAAGTACTTGGATGGTCAGGCTGTATTAAGCTACCACAGTGTCACACCTAGTTCAAAAACACCTATGCAAGACGTCATCATTAGGTTTAGAAAACAATGGGACCGATTGGCACCATCCCATTCATCAGATCTGCTCCCTCTAAAAATCGCAATACTGCTCCATTACAGCTCCAAGGAGTGCTGTGGTGAGACATGCCATGGGTTTCTGTATGTGCTACATCCAGAACTGAAAGCTGTAGAGCTGTCTGAAGTAGAATGCTCTAGCCAGGGTAACTAGCTTTGCTACTTCAAGAGCTAGTTAGGGCATTTCTACATGGGGCTGCCTTGCATGGGGTAGCAATGGACCAAGTCTTTGCTACATCAAGGGGTGCGACCCCCTAACCCAATTTGCCACTCACCTATGTAATGATCAACATCACAGCCTGTCAGTTTATTTATGAGAACAGAATGAGATACTATATCGAAGACCTTCTTGAAGTCTAGGTAGATGACATCTACCTCGACTCCTGCATCTAAGCATTTTGTGACTATAGTCTATAGTAGACCCCCACTACCAAGTCCCTTTCCCCCAATCCCCTTGTATCCTGACCCACAGTACCTCGGTTTGGCCTTCCTCTGATCTCATCTTGATTATAGAGGATGTATACCATTCCTTAACATGGAGAGCAACGCCCCCCACCTTTCTCCCCACTCTATCCCATCTGTACAACCTGTAACCCTCAATGCCTACTGCCCAATCATGAGTAGGGCCCCACCAGGTTTCAGTTAGTCCAACCAGTTACTCCATACAAATAAGAAACCATTCTGACCTGTTGTGGTCTTTCTGAGTTCTTTGCAACAGAAGAGTTACTCTTTTCCCTTGCTCAAAAAGCAAGTGATAGCTACGAGTTGGCATATTCTGCCAACCTCTTGAATCAAGAGGTATGCCTTGAGTCTAATGAGGGGTGCCTTGAGTCAAAAGGTTGAGAACCACTGCACTACAGAGTTCGTTCCAATACCCAGGAATGAGCTGGACTCTGTGTCCCACATGATCCCCTGAACAGGTACCTAAATTTCTACCTCAGGGTTCTGGCTATTCTCTGTTTCCCATCCTGGACTGTCTATGGCAATGCTCTCATGGAACAAAGGTTGAATTTACTGATCTGAATTTTCCTCTCTTTTCTGCAATTGCTGTCAGTCACACAGTCCATATGATAAGCATGTCAGAAAATATGATAAAATGAAGCCTTATCAGTATTATTAAGATTCCACAGACTAATCCCTCAGTGATGTGGATGTTGTGCCTTCAAACATTTTGCAAGTTCCCTTGTGTGCTTAAACAGCCACCCACACTGACAGTTGCTTTTTGTTTTAGCAAGGGCACTATGTGGAGGGGAAGAAACTGTAAGATTTCACAGCTCCACGTGTGCATGTGTAGTTCAGATGCCCTTATTTGAAATGGTAGTTCCCCTTGGAGTTATTTTCCCTTTTTCCTCCATGCACTGAGCACATTAACATTGATGCAGTGTTGGGCGATACTAGGTAAAACCACTGGTTTAATAGACCTACACCTGTTAAAAATGCCTGTTAAAATGAGAGTAGAGTAATGAAATGGTGAATCCAATCAAAACTGCACATTTATATTGTCCCGTTACACATGCAGTTACTAATTACAAGAACAACAGTTTCACTTGTGAACAGATTCGCTATATCTATCTTCTTCATTAGTCACCTAAAAATAAAAGTTGAAGGAAGAAATAGCAATAATCTCAAAATTTCTGGTTTCTGTGCCATTATATCATGCTTAGCTTGTTTTTCAGGTTGAACAACAGCCTGTCTTCAAGTAAATACCCTTCTCTTTGTGAATAGCATGGTATAGAATGAAATCAAAGAGGATTTCTAAAATCTCATATAATTTTGACAATTTGTGTTTACTTTTGCATATTTCAGCTTAGAGACAGTGGAAGTAGATTTTTCACCTTCACTTTTGTTTCTGATTGGGAAATTCACTGTGAACTGTTCTTGCATGTTTACCTTCTGCTTCAATATTTAAGGTCCTAATCTTGCAAACTGCCCCCCAGTGCCAGGCTGACTTCAGCAGAGCTCTGTGTAAGCACAGGTGCTTGTAAGAGCATGACCTAATTCACAAACACTAGGGAAAAGTTTATTGCTTTAAAAAGTTCATTGGAATATATTTTAATAAACATGTCACGGAAACATTACAGTATTAGTCTTGGACTCTGTAAGTGCCGATATTTACTAAAGGTAAATTTGAAATTAAATTTTCCCTTAAATGGCCACATCCCTGGATGCCACTCCTGCAGGCATTTACACTCTCACTAAACTTTATTATATAGTAATACACGAGCCCTGTATATGAGAAAAGGATCATTTGTATCACTGAGTACAGTTCCCCTAAATCACAGACAACCATTTAACAGCTATTAAGTCCAGGAGAGTCCACAAGAACATTTATTCCAGCCTTCTTACCCACCCACAACAGAAGCTATAAAACACCTTCCAAGATCTTATAACCAGAGGAAACCTTTTAGTACAAGAGACCTGAAGCCTCAAAGGTTACAATGCACCCTAGAAAGAGAGCTGGAGAGGGCCCTGCCAAGGCATTGGTCTGAATTTGTTAGGTGAAATATGTCCAGGTGATCCAAAGTGGTGGAATATACTCCACACCACCAAGGCAGGCAAAAAACCAACATCAGTCCCTACTAATCTTACATGAGAGAAAACTAATTCCTAACTCTTAAGTGTATTAGCTGGGCACCTGAGAGGTTTCTCAGTGCCAATCAGAGCAACAGTGCAGCCCAACCAACCTACCATCTCTAGCTGTGGCTAATCTAATCCTAGATGCTTCAGAGGAAAATTTAAAATAAAATAAAACAAACAAAAAGGAACCAGAAACCAGTTTAAGAATGCAGATAACTATCAAAAAGTGTGAACTACAGGATTAATTAAATGCAGCATAAATATTGTCTGACAAGTGTTGTAAGCATACTGACAGCTCCAAAGAGAGGGATGAACAGAAAGGATCATCACAACTACCTGGTCCAGCCTTCCTCACTTGTGCACACAAGCCAAAGAACATCCTACAGTCTAAAGACTAGAGCATGTCTGCAAAAAGTCATCAAAATTGCTTCAAAGACCCCCAATGCTCAACCTTCCATGTTACCAGAAAATTGCATCTGTAATTCGCATCAAGCTCCACGCTCCACCTCTGGGTTCTGCTCTGCATTATCAGCAAGCTCAGAAAACCATCATTCAACGCCAGTCCCACATGCAAAGAACTACATGCAGCAATTGCATCTCCTTTGAACCCTCTCTTAGGGATACCAGTGAATCGAAGTCTGGTATCACAAGGTTTAATTTCCAACTCCAGAAGCTTCTCAGGTTCTGTCATGAAACAATTTAGGTTCCTTGCCTCTACTACACTGGCTGGGTTGTTCCAGAATTTCTCTTTTCTGATACTTAAATTTTTTTTCCCTAATTTCTCTCTAAAAGTATTCTTGACCAATTTATTCCTATTAGGCTGTGTAGCAGCATTATCCTTTACCGTAGATAGCTGTTCTCTTTCCCTGGAATGCACTTGTATTCCACGTATACATAGAGTAACCACATGCCCTATTAACCTGCATTTTGCAAAGTTAAAAAAGCCAAGCTCTTTTAATAACCTCTTATTAAAAAAAAGTTATCCATTTCTTCATTACTGGGAGAATTTGAGCACACATAATCAGGACTGTACCCAAAATTGTAAATGTTTTCATCAATGCCTTGTACAGAGTTTCTGGCTAAAATTACTTTAACTGATCTTTTCTAGGAATTAGCTTTTCTCACAGCAACATCACACTGATGGCTCATGGTCATTTTATACTCAACCAATAGACCCAGATCCTTCTTCTCCTCTGTTGCCACACATTTATGAGCCCTCAAATTCTATCAAAAGTTATCCATATTAGTCCCTTAGGCATGACTTTGCAGTTTGTACCATTTAATATCCTCCTGCTTCTATTGCTCCACTCTTCAGGATCATCTAATGCAAGGGTTCTCAACCTTTTTCTTTTTGAGCCCCACCCCCCTTAGCATGCTATAAGAACTCCAGGGCCATGCGCAGGAGAGGACTGGCCTGAATCCCTGGCTCCATACGCACAGCCCCTGGCACAGCGAGTGAGGAGCCCTGGGGCCCCATACACCTGTGCAGCAGGAGCACAGAGGCTCGCTCATCCACCCGCATTGCCACCCACAAGATGCAGTCTCCCCACAGGTGGCAGCAGAGGGGCTGACTGGGGCATGAAAGTCAGGCTCCTGCCCTGCAGGCTTTCTCCCCATGGCTGGCTGGGTTGAAATTGCACCCTGCGGTCACTGTCTACACATGTGTTTAATTGCATGTGTTAACTCTACTATAGGATAGTACTTGTCCCCTACAGCTCTATGCTACACACAACAGAGTAAATTAGTTTACTGCACCCTAATTCCAGCGCACATGTAGATGGTGATATTTTACTGTGGAGCTAATTAGTCAACTCAGCAGTAAAGCACGCATGTAGATACGCCCTATACGTACCAAGGTCACCAGGGACAGTAGTAAACAGGATGAATTTCAAGACAGATACCTGGAGTAATATCAGTGGTAACTTCTCCATCCTCATGACTCCCCTTTCAATATAACTCACTGCAATTTCCCCTTTAGAGAGATCTGTATAGGAATAGATGATAGGTAGATCTCTGTATAGATAGATCTGTATATACATAGAGCTGTAGATAGATATAGAGCTGTGGAGAGAGATTTGTATAGGAATAGATGATAGATCTGTATACAGCTAGAGAATTGTGGAGAGAGAAATCTATATAGATAGATCTGTAGAGTTAGATTTGTATGTAGATCTGTAGATAGATTTGTATACGGAGCAATATAGATCAATCTGTAGATAAATCTGATATATAGATGATAGATCTGTATATAGGTAGAGCCGTAGATAGAACTGTAGCGGGGTAATCTGTATATAGCGAGATCTGTAGAGAGATGTGTACATAGATCTGTAGATAGATTTGTATATGGAGAGATATAGATTGATTTGTAGATAGATAAATCTGTATATACAGATGATATATACAAATCTGTATATAGATCTGTGGATAGATAGGTCTATATATGGATATATCTGTCGAGAACTATATGTATAGATAGATACCTAGATCTGTAGACAAGAGACAGATCTGTATATAGATGGATGATAGATCTGTAGATAGTGTGCGGGCTGGGAGCAGTCCGAGGCCCTTTTTTCACGCGGCGGGCTGTGGCCAGCAGCCCAGACATGCCGGGTCGGGGAAGGCAGGCGGCACGCTAGAATTAGGCACGGACGCTTAATGGTTGTTTAAGATTGTTTACTTACACCGTACATGATCGCAGTGCAGGCTGGAAAACTTCCAGGAATACTTCGCTTAAGCCCTAGTTTAAGGACTCGGACAGAGCTCTGGATTCACTCACACGAAGTTTTCGAGGCTCCGTGGAACCTGCGCGCAGGGAAGGGTACGTCGAGGGATCGTTCAGCGACAGGGAGAGGCGAGAGGCTGATCAGACCCCTGTTGCCTTCTTGATATTCACGCTGGGTCCAATAGGCTCCGCAGCACTTAGAGATCTTCACGAAACATGAAGTCTCCTCCTCCTGATGTTCATGGAGTCCTCCAACTTGGGCGGAAACCACTCAAGCCTCTTATACGGCTAGCAAGCCAATCGCTAGCCGCCACGTAGGAATAATTTAGAACTGACCAATAGTGGGGCACAAATTTAAATACAAATGGCGGGAACTCCTTGCAACGTGCATTTCTGTGCTGCAACGAAGAAATGCACCCTGCAAAGAAAGCTACAAACAGCAGGAAAATAATTTAGCAGTGCCAAAGCGCACACAAACAAAAATCACACCCTTGGGTTGTGACAGATAGATTTGTGCATGGACAGATAGCTATAGATCAGGGCATTGGCGACACGTTGAAGGCCACGGGAGGAGCATATGTCCCCCTGAGATTGACCCTTGCCAGCTGGGGAGTGGGGGCGCTGAGAGAAGTGCCGGCAGCACTTCCAGTTTTGCCACTGGCACTTCCAGGGTTGGCAATCAGCCTCTGAGGGACCTCCTTCCTCCCCCAGTCAGCGGTCAGCTGCTGGTGCCCCCCAGACTCAGGAGGCACGAGTCACCCATGGATCAGTGGTTCCCAATCTGTGGTACGGGTATCACCACTGGTACGCAGACAACCTGTCAGTGGTACGCATTAACAGATTTATTATAATTACTTTCTATGACAAAAATTTTCTGGTGGTACTTAAGGTTGTATCATTTTAAACTGGTGGTGTGCAATCTGCCAGAGTTCGGGAACCACTGCTATAGACTGATCTACAGATCATGTAGAGCTAAATCTGTATATACATATGATGGATCTGCAGCTAGATCTGTGTAGATCTGTCGATAGAGATGTATGAAGAGTTAGAGTCGCACACAGATCTGTAGATAGATTTGTATGGGGAGAGAGAAATACAGGCGGATTTGTAGATAGATAAATCTGTATATACCGGTGACAGGTCTGTATACAGATCTGCAGATAGGCCTAGAGACAGACGTGTAGAGAGAGAGATGTACAAAGACAGATCAGTGGATAGATGACACATCTGTAAATAGAGATCTATCTCCCTCCAGACCTCTCTAGATCACCAGACCTACCTACCTGGCTACATAGAGCGATCAGCAAGTACCGCCGCACAACCCCACCTCTGCACCCACAGACCTCTCCCCCGCCCGCGCCGAGTCGAGCCCGGGGAGGCGCCCGGGCAGCGCGAGCGCCGGCTGCAACGGGTCCTAGCAGCTCCATACAGCAGGGACATCTTTCAAGAGACTTTGAAACAAAAAACAAAACAAAAAAACCCCGCGCTCCTAATAGTCAGGAGGGTTTTTCCCAGTCTGCTACCGCTCTTTTCTTTCTTTTTTTTTTCTTTTTTTTTTGCGGGTGCCTTGGCGCGTCCCCTTTTCTACCGTGCTGGCCGGGCCCTGCTTGCATCCCTGGCTGGGGGCCGGCTGCGGGCGGCGCAGGTGCGCGCGGGGGCTGCGAGGGGACACCATCCTGTGCCACCAGGTGAGCGCGCCTGCTCTGTCTGCGCACGGCCGGGGATGGGGAAGGGGCTGGTGCTGCTTGGAGCAGGGGGTGGCACTAGGTGAGCCCCTGCCTGGGTCCCTGCCAGCCCTGTTGGTGCGGGAGTCGGGGGCTCCGGGCTCCACCGCTCCGCGCGCCCCTTCCCGCCAGGGTCACAGAAAAGGTGATGTGATCTCTTGTATTGGTCCAACTCAACGCAGTCTTGTATTCGTGGGTCTAATACAAGAGATCATGGAAAAGATGTGCTCTCTTTTATTAGACCAACTCAACACGGACTTTTATTTGTTGGCCTAATAAAAGAGGTCACATCTACCCACACAACCATGTCTGCCTGTGCCCCTAGACCAAGGGCAGACAGTTATTTTGGGCAGAGGGCCACTTACTGAGTTTTGGCAAGCCATCGAGGGCTGCATGACAGGCAGCCCAGGGCAGATTAATATTAATTTTTAGAAAATTTTCGGGGCCCCGCGGGCCGGATAGAATGGCCTGGCGGGCCGCATTAGACCAAAATGGCAACAACCAATAGACAGTTTGATTTTCAAAGCTGACCCCTTTTGGGATCCCTTGGTCACGCTGTGGGCTTTCACTGCAGCTAGCGGGAGGGAAAGGGGCTGAGGGCACAGGCCACTTCAAAGTTACTTGAATTCTTCATAGAAAAAAAATTTGATTAAAAAGGTTCCTGTTTTTTGGCACCCCCTCCCACCAAAAAGGGTGGGGGAGGGGAGAGGGGAAGGTCTTGCATTTGACAGCTGAAAATCAAACCACCTATTGGTTGACAAGGTTCTGTGGTTAGATGTGATATTTTATTAAACCAGCTAATACAATACTGTGTTTAATTGGTGTAATAAAAGATATCATATTTTTTCTGTAATCACTAATAAGACCAACTTATTAGACTAAGTTGGTGTAATAAAAGATATCACGTCTACCCAAAGAACCTTGTCTGCCAAACTGTCTGTCCTATGCTTTTCAGTGGAAAATGTTTAAGGTTAATTTTTTTCCTTTAATGAAAATGCCAAATGTCAGAGAAAACCGTGTTAGCTTCTGGGTGCATTTCCCTGCCTGAGCTCCCTAGCTGGCTGCCCACATGGGCTTCCCCAGAAGCACTCACTGGGCGGCTCCTCTCCCTGGACCCAGACCTCGCTGTGGTTGCTCTTGTGCCCATGCGTCTCAGAGCTACCAGTCTTGTGCACCTGATGGGGTCACCCAGGGCAGACAGGCCCGTGGGGAGGTTCCTGGCAAATTGCGGCCTAGCCCCTAAGCCCTCAGCAGCAGATCTCAAAATGTCAGGGTCTCCCAGGTGGGAGATTTCCTGGCATCTGGGGTGACTCCCTCACCATGAATCGAGGTCATGTGGCTGTTTCCCTTGCCATGGCCCCCTGGTTGAGCCTCACTGGTATCTAGTGAAGTACAGTTGTTGGCTTAGGCAGCACTGGGCTTGTACAGTCTGTCGTTGTAAGAACTTATGTAGAGTAAATTATGCTATGAAGTGTTGCATGAAGTGGTGTGTTACCCCAAGTAAGCAACATGTTTGCTCTTCAAGAAAAGGCTGGTGAGAGAGGTGCTGGGATGCTGCCACAGGTAAATATATATAGTGCTGCATTTTCTCCATAACATAGAGGATGAATTTTTGGATGTATGTATTAAAACCACTGAAAAATATCCTGTCCCTCAAGTGTATAACAAATACTGTACTCTTCTTGTGTGAACATCAAAAGCAATCATCAAAATTGTTCTTTCAAAAGTGTAAGCATGCTCAGGAGATGATCTTATAAAATAGATCACAGATGCATGAAAGCACAGTGAGCTCTTAAAGCTATTTTAACACTGTGTTTACTGTAATGTTGAATGGCTTGAATTGCTGCCAGAAATGTGATCCTGCATCACTGACGGAGCTTCTGAAACTTCCCTAGCATAGATGCACTGCAGCAACTTCTAGCATATGTGGCTTTTGAATAACATTCATCTGACAGGACTGAATCCACAACAGAGCTGGTTTCAGTGTTGCTAAGAAACACTCTGTTTAGTTTGTGCCTGTTATCACCCACTTCATACCAGATTCATAGGCCAGATTCTGATTTCAGTTATGCTGAAGTAGATCTAGAATTACTGCATCAACTTCAGTGGAGTGGTGTCAGATTTATCCTTGTTTAACTTGCACAAGATGTTGGCCCCTTGTCTTACAGTTTTGCTTGATATACTGAAAGAGTGATGGTGTCAAGGGTGGTAGGCAAAAATGTGACCCACTAGATATGTTTTGGCTCACAGATCTGCATAAGCACATACCATAGTGCTCTCTATTTGCTGTGCTTCTCTGCTTCATCCAGCATGCAGTCACTGGGTGTAAAAGTTGTGGTGTCCTTTGATATGGCATGCTTCAATTGAAATAGTGTAGCATATAAAGATGGACCCAAGAATATTTTTCCATGAGTCAGGTTCCAAATATACTTATTTGCTAAGAACTATAAGGGTGCTTCCAGATGATGTTTGTTTCCCCGGGGAAAAGTAGCAGCGGCACAAGGTGCTGCTGCTGCAATGCCTGTGCCATGCACACTGTGGCGTGCACAGCACGTTACCCCAGGTGGGGTAGGGGAAGCTGGCCCCAGCAGCCATACCTGGGGGCCTCCCTGAAGGTAAGGTGGCCTTGGCAGGATGCCTGGCTGACAGCCAAGCATGTGGCTCCAACTGTCCAGGCTCTGCTCTTGCGTGGTGCACGCTGCCGCCATGTGTGCTGCCCCACTTTTTCTCAGTGTGGGTTTCTTTTGACCCTGGGATCTCCTGGGGTCAAACACCTCTCCCCGCACTGCCAGGTAGCAGTGTGAGGAATGCCTGTACATGTGGCATGTGACGCCACAGACGGGTCTGCAGTGCCACATACCTCATATCCATACTTCTCTGGACATGACCTACAAGGCTGCCTAGGAGGGTGGTAAGGCCCAAATCTGCTTTTGCTGAAGTCTCTATGAGTTGTGTCATTGCCAGCAGAAAGCTAATACCATATACATTTCTGAGTGAATATGACTGGGTATTAGTTAAAACCAATACAAATAATGAAAAGTGATATAATTGGTGTAAGAAATCCATGGAGCCTTATGAAAAAAGCACTGGAGTAGAACTTAGGAGAACTGATTTCTGTTTCTGGCTCTGCCACTAGTTTGCTTTGTGACCTTGGGCAAGGTCACATTTACTTCCCTGAGTTTCAAAATGAGGTCTTGGGAAATTATACCACTTTGCTGGGGGGGATGCCCTTTATGATATAATAATGAAAGGTATACTTTGAGAGCTATCCTGTTGTTATTGGTTAATAATAATAATACACATTGGAACTGATCAGTATTTTTCCAAGGACAGATTGCATGGTTTTATGAAATGTATGAGTAAACGCTCTCATTTTCATAAAGAAGTTTTTTAGAAAAAACAGAGTCCCTTGACAATGATCACGTAATAGGTGGGAAAAGATTATCAATGCAGTGCCTATGCTTGACTGCACAGAGGTGTTGTAAAACATCTTGCCCTTATTTCCCCACAAACTGTAAATATTGCATTTTCCTTTACAGTCATAGATTTAAATGGAAGTGTTCACCTAGCCCGATGTAGAGAGGAACAGTGCCTCAGCTGTTTTGTCATTTTTCCAATATCTATTTGGTAGGCAAATTTTAACTTTTCCTTTTGAAAAAAAGTAAACCAGGAGTACTAGATGAGAAAAGGATAGGTGGCTGAAATGGAAACTACTTTTGGCCATTTTTCTTTTCCCTTTTTTCCAGTTCATGTTATAGGCGCACTGGATTGCATTCAGTTCCTCACAAACCAGCCAACCAAACAGACCCTGATGGTGATCTAACTTAATTTAGCCTTCATTTATCTGATCAACTAGACTAATGAAAGCTAAAATATACTTTAGATTGGATGCTGAACTCAGTTATATTGATCTAAGTGTGTAGTAGTTCCAGTGAAGTCAGTGGTTAGTTACTTCACTTTCCTATTAGTGCAGCTGAGATCAGAGTAGCTGGAAAATTTGTAAATAGAAAGAGATATCGTGTGTAGAACCACATATCAAATTATGACTTGTCTGGCAGTCGGATCGCTGCTGCAGAGTTTCATGGCTTTGTGGAGTCTGTTGACTTCAACAGGGTTCCTTTTTACATGCAGACCTGCCAGTGCCAAGGGTTGATAACCTTTTTGGACAGGCTGAAAAAATACAGCTCTCTCCAAAGCAAGCCAGCATTTGTAATACAGATTACAAATTTGTACTGCTGTCCCTTCATCCTGGTGCCCAGTTGCCAGCACGGTGTCGTGTGAGCTGGTTGCTGCCAGAATGCTGCTGGTATCCCAGCTTCCTGGGTCAAATGGAACCGCTTGATTGATGGATCCAGCCCACACAGACTGTAGTTTGTTGACCTGGGGCCCATGCAGATGGATTTACAGGATCAGGGCTTACCAATCTAAACTAAAGTTAATAATGGCATTGTGACATGATACTCTTGAGACGTGGAGCATCTTTAAGTCCTATTGATAGCTGCAGAAATTCAACCTACCTGTCATCAGAGACACTTAGCACCTGGTAAGATTGGACTGTTTGAATAATAAGAATCTTACAACACAGACAGAGTAACTTTAATTCCCTCTGTTCCAAAGCCTCTTGACTTGGTCTGATCCAAAGCACTTGGGATCAGCTTTTGTCCTACGTTGGAAGTGCCTCTGTTTAGTCCCTGTGGTTCCGGTTATAGAGTAGGGTTCAGAAACCTTTTGAGAATGGCAGACTGAAAGAACACAGATTGGTTTAAGGTGGGCTGCCACTGCCTCTTATCCCTACCATTGAATTGCTGCTGATGTTTGTGGGCCGAACGAAATGACTTGGTGGGTCCTGACCCAGCCTGTGAACTCTTGGTTACTGATCCCTGATACAGCAAATTAGAAAAGCTGGGTCTGCTGCTGGTTATTGTTTTGGTTTTTTTGTTTGTGCAATCTTTCAAAAACTGAAAACAGCTCAGACCCTGGAAGTTGAAGGGTCTCCTGGAGTTTTATAAGGATAACTTTTTTTCCCCCCCAGAAATATCCTTCATAGTGGCAGGAAGCATTTTCCATTGCACATTGGCACCAGGCTGAGAATGAAGCCTCTGGGCAGGGGGGGGATAAAAGCTGTCCTTAGGCAGCTGGGCAATCTCTGCAGTGCTAGAATTACAGCTACAGAGCAGTTCCTCCCTGCCTAAGTAAGTGAGAAGTATTACATCTGCCTTTAAGAATTGCTGCTCTTCCTATTCAAATTAAATTGGACTTAAGGTTTCGTCTTCAGTGTTTTGTTTTGCAATTTCTCCTCTGCTCTTGCTTGTCTTGCTTAGGAATGCCTTCAGCAGGCAATCCTTGTTGGGTGTTTGGGTGACCGCCTTACTCCATAAAATGAATGGAAGTATGTGAAGCACCAGAGGGTTTGCTCACTCTGGAAACCTCTATGATTTGCAGTGTAAACCCTTTGGGTGGGGACCATTTTTTCAATAGATGTATACTGTACATCTAAAAGGCCCTAGTTTAGGCCTTGCAGTGCTATTGGATCCAACAATGGTAACGCATATTAAGCCTGTAAACATTCCCTAAGTTACCACCTACATCTTCACTGATCACCCTTTGAGCAGCTTTCGGAACTTTAAAAGTCGTGGTGACAAACTGAAGGAAGTTCATAGTGAAATGAAAAATTAGAAAGGTAATAGATGTTTTGGTAGAGCAAAAGAGGTTGCTCAAAACTGCTTGAAAGCTGTGCTCTCCAGGCAGCATAGATAATGGTCATAATTAATCTGAATAATTTTCTTCTCTGCACTTTCCAAGGGAGGACTGGAAAGGTTTTACTTACATTAATGGATGTAGAGATCACAAACCCTGTGTGAGGTATATTAGGTAAATATTACTTTTCATACTTTTCTGGGAGTGGAAACAGCAGTTAATTGACTTCTCAAGATCACGTGACAAGGAAGCTACACGTTTAAGCATGGATACCAGATCACTTACTTGCCTGTTCTGTATGTGAGCATGCTGCCATGCCATATAATTAGTTTTATTTCAAACAACCTATTGCTAGATAGAACTGACTATTTTGCACGTCCATCTTATCCTTCTGGGTAGGCTGAGAACTGCTCAGCTGTTAACTGTTGAAATAGATTCTCCTTTCACTGTAGTAATGGTACTCTTAGATCTCAATTCAAACCCACTATAAACTTTTGAATGGTCACAGAGTAGAATAAAACTGGAAACGTGAGGTCTGGTGTGTCTTTGTGCTGTTTGCGTTACCATTTGATATGGAAAGAGCTACTGCAGTTCAGTAAATTGACTTTAAAATGATGATACCTGTGGATTTGTTTGTTCTTTCATTAGAATCCAGTTACAGGACTGCTTTCAGCCAGCATTGATCACAAAGATGCTTGGGTCCGGGACAACATCTACAGTATTCTGGCTGTGTGGGGCCTGGGAATGGCTTATCGGAAGAATGCAGACCGGGATGAGGATAAAGCCAAAGCCTATGAACTTGAGCAGGTATACCTAATTACCACATAATGATATGCTTATCAGTGGTCCCACTGCATTTCTTTAATTATTTTATGAGATATTTATTATTTACGTTGGCCTAGTACCCAGCATATTGCAAGGGCTTTCAAACTAATGGGCAGTCACAATCCCAGCCCAGATTAATATTTAGATTTGGAGTATTTATCTGGTCTCTATTACCATAATATCAGAGTGCCTACACGTTCTTCGGCAATAGGGGCATGTTGTTGCATGGGGGAGTGGGATTCGCAGCCCCAGGTTGATCTCGTCCCTCAGCCGCTGCCACTGTTTTGCCTCAGTATTGAGTCGTTGGGCCTTGAACTGGTGCGCACCTTGGTGCACTCCTCACTTAACGTCAACCTGGTTAACGTTGTTTCATTATTACGTCGCTGATCTATTAGAGAACATACTCGTTTAAAGTTGCACAACATTCAGTTATAACATTGTTTGGGGCGCCTGCTAGTAGATTCATAGATTCATAGATGTTAGGGTTGGAAGGGACCTCAATAGATCATCGAGTCCGACCCCCTGCATAAG